TCCGTAGGAATTTCCTTGGGATGGGATCCATCTGCTTGTTGGAAATTTGTCTTCACGATTAGTTGGCATATTTTCGTCAACACCAGATTCTACTATACCATGATTGTCCTTTTTTTATTTTTCTAAAGAAAAAGAAAGGAAGATACACTAAAATCTAAGTCTCTGATACCAAATTGGTGCAACCAAAAAACAAAACTAAGATTGCAAACAAAAAGTCTTCCTTTAATATAAATATGACAAACATAAACCATATAACTTATATTAATTTTGAGAAGAAAGATACAATTGAGGCGAGAACCATGGATAGAGAATAAGGGATTAGAAGACCTAGACAAATTTTAAGAAGAAGAAAGGAAGAAGACAATAGCTCGCAAGCTATTCCAAACCCGCAGGTTTCATGCTCCAAAAATTATCATCACTAATCCTCCTATAAAACAGCGGCAAACAGCCCCCATATATAGGGAAAATTAGAGCCCAACAACCCCATAAATGTGCCGCCCCCAAGCCACCAATACTAGCCAAAATTACATAGGAAATAGCGAGGGGGGGGTGGGGGGGGGACGGACAGCATGGGGAAACAACTGCCAGAATAGGAAACCAACAGTCACCAACAATATAAACTTTATGGGAAATGGACAACAACCGAAGCAGCACACCAACACAGAAAACCATGGGACAATATTGGGAACCAAACAATATTTTTAGGAATTCAAAACAGCACACAAGTCCAAACAGCACACAAGGAAGTCCAAACAGCACATACAACACCTAGGGAATCCCAAACATCATTTTTAGAATTCCAAATAGCACCTTGATTGCATCATTAGTTCACTTAGAAGTTATCCCTAATAGATTAATTAAAGCAGGACTTACGGCTTTCTATTGGAATTAGCCAGTATGTTTTAGGTTTAGGTTCTTTTACTTCCCTTGGAAGGGATTAGTTTCAATAGGATTTACTACTTCACTCGGAAGTCACTTATTATGTTTATCCTAGAGTGGATATAGCAGCAGATATTTAGCTTTACACTCCTCTACTGCCTTGGAATTAGTGCTTTTGTTTCAACAGTTATGTTTTACTTCAGTATAGTGTTTTGCTTATAGTACTAGTGATTTGTTTATAGTCTTGCATTGACTTTTGTTTATTTGTTTGCAGGTATTCGGAGCTTGCACTACTTTGGAGCTTGCATAGGAGTTTTTTGTGTTTGCTTGGATTTAGTTTGTTCAATTTTCTTAGAGTTTACTCAGAGATTGTTAAGAGTTGTGTTTGAGAGTTTTTATTCCGTTGAGTATGTTTAGAGTTAGTTTGGAGTTTGTTTTGTAGAGTTCTTGTTTGAGAGTTGTAGCTTTCTTGAGTTGGATTGTTGTACAAGGATTGATTATAAGGCAAACATTGATTTGATTTATTTTATTTTGTTATTTTGAATTAATTGCATTAATTACCTAGTTAATTAATTAATTAATTAAAGGTTTAATTTTATTGTAATTAATTAATTAGGTCATTAATTAAATATAGTTGTAAATGTTATTTTTAAATTAATTAATCATATATTTTAATTATTTAAGTAATTAGTTAATTACAACAACATCAACAACAACATCAAGCCTTTATCCCACTACGTGGGGTCGGCTACATGAATCCTTTTTCTCCATTGTGTTCTATTAAAAGTCAAATTCTCATTTAAACCTAATAAAGAAAGGTCATTCCTAATATTTTCCAACCAAGTCTTTTTAGGAGTCGTAT